TTGTCACCACACAGATTAGCAGATTTCCACTGAGCCCTCTCTGTTCTGCTGGATCAAGGAGTTATTGCTCCTGTAACAGAACAGTTTAATGGGTTTTTCTCTCAATGACTGCATTCAAGTCCACAAATTGCACATGGAATCCACCATGTTTATTCATCGCCTTTTATCAGGGAGACTTTCTCGCTTCTATGTACATCAGCGGTTCATATGCTTTGATGTGGGGCCCTAGCATAGTATAACGAGAAGGTTTAGAAAAGTCCTGTTATTCTCTGACCTAGATGAATTCTGCTAACGTTTCATTAACCATTGTTTAATGAAAGTATAGAACACAAATATACTTGCTCTGTTTCCTCTTTTCAGGTTAGAGTAAGATGTACATAAACATATAATACAACATTGCTCTCAGAGCCGTATTTAGAGGCTATTGCCTTTATCATCCATATCCATTCCAATATAAGTGGGTTATTCCTTCCTTTAGCAGAGAAGGAGCTAAGATGCAAAGCATTCCTTTGTGCCCCAGTTGGTTTATAGTAGATAGTGGTACTTCTGTGTGCAGTAAACAGAAGTGCTTCATGTACAGTTGGCCATAGGGACACAAAGAGATAATTGGCAGAACCCTGTTCCGTGTCTTAAAACCTGGAATAGACTCCTTTTTATATTTCCATTTTGACTGTATAGTAGAAGGTCTAAGTGATCAGTTTCTTCTGGTGGAAATAGCCAGCGCTGTTCTAAAAAGCCCATATCATTGTAAGTTGAGGGTACATGTGATTAGGTTTCTATAGGCTATTAACTGGTATCTGCTGATGGGAGAACAGATAATATGTAAATAAGAGACGCATACTGTGCTCACTCCCTGGCTGATTGATAGCAGGCATGTTTGTTGATCTGCCGGTCAGGCTCCTGTGATGCAGGACAGAGCTGGATGTTCTGCATGATTGCAGAGCCTACTTACTGGACTGTGACCAGCGGAGGAGGGGGCTGCTTGCATAAAACCATTGCAAGGGAATTGTGGTTTTGTGAATTTACTTTTTTTTTTTTTTCTTTTTTTTTTTACTGTTTGGCAATAAAGAAAAATGTTTTAGTTGATTCTAAATCCATTTTGCTATGTGCCAATAATGCATTTCCATACTTAGATATTACTACGTGAAAGCAGAGATAAATGTATTTCTATGTGCAGAGCTGTGGGAGGGACTCAGCTGGTCCTTCCACTGCAGATTTCCTGCTGAAAACTACAGGGGGGAGGAAACCAGACCAGTCACCATCCACAAAATAGAGATCAGCAGTGACCGGTCTTTATTACAGGATCATCCTGCACAGAGCCACGGGAGTTGCTTCAATATGGATTGCTTTACAGGGCTGAAAAAGCATCCACAGAGGACATCAAGATTAATTGAAGAGAATTTATGAAATCTGGAGCAGCTGTGCATGGCAACCAATCAGCTTCTCTCTTTCCTCTTCAAATCGTAACTGAGAATCAGATAAAAGAGAGAATCTGATTGGTTGCTATGCACAGCTGCTCCAGATTTCATCTGCTCCAGTTTTGATAAATTCCCCCCAATATATCAATGAGATTGCCAATTAGACCATTTTTGTTTAGCCCCAATTTCAACTTTCATTTTTTTTACTGTTACACATCAAATATTGCATATCAGTATTATGCACACTCATAAGTAGGCTCGTTTTCTCGTGTTTTACAGCTCCCATCCAGTGTTCAAATCTTACAGAACTCAGTAGCTGAAATTGACACAAGTGAATGAGTCGGAACATTCTCTTCAGTTCATACAGCTCAGTCTGTGGTTTCAGTCAGAGAGATATCGACTTAAAGCAAAAACCTATTTCACAATTCCCTTCACCCTCCGAGGTGTATTCTCACAGAGTCTAAGGTAGTTTGCAACGTATTTCTTCTCTGATAATTTTCCACTGTGTTTGGTAAATTAACCAAATGCAAATGTACAACTCCGTTACCTTCAGAGGCATTAGAATGACGAGATGGATATATTATTACCCTGGGGCATAACAATACACATTATTCCACTTTATTTCCCCTCTATTGTTCACTGAAATTCTCATATATGGCCCAAACTTTGTGGGCACCTAAATATCACTCCTCCACAGTATGAACTAAAGTAAATGGACACCCTTGAGTGAAGATTGCTGTTGAAATACCAAGAGCCAGGTTTTCTCATTCAACAACAGTAACTTGCTTCTCAAATACTCTTTTGGCTTGGTGGGTACAAATTCACACACAATCTAGTTGAAAGCCTTCCCAGGAGAGTGGAGGCTGCGAAGGGAAGGATCATATCCATATTAATGCCCATGGTTTGGGGAATAGGATGGCCAACAAGCTCTTAAAGGTGTGATGGTCAGGTGCCCACAAGCTGTGGCTAATATAGTATTTTGGGATGCTGAGGTGGCGGGAAGAGCCTCCTCAGCTCTATCCTGGAGCTGGGCATTGTGCAAACAGATTGCCTTGGTTTGGAGGCTCCCCAGGAACATGCACTGGATGGGTTCTGACAGGCAAGTTTTTTTCTGTTTTCTGTGAGTTCCCTTAACTTTTATTACAGCATTTGGTGAAGACGCAGGACTCCGATGCCAATCTGAGAGCAATCTTGACACACTCTCTCTTGAAAACTCAAAATGAACTTTTGGCTGAGCTTGATGCTATTAAAGGCAAAAAAGGAACCAGGATCATTATCTGGAACCTAAGAAGGTAGGGCCTTGGTATGAAGAATTAATTCACTTAATCCACTTCATAAACCTCCGTAAAATAAAACCGCCGGAAAGAAAGATAGACTGTCCTGTTGCTGGCAAAAACTGACAGAACCAATATAGACTTATATGTAAGGGAAATACAGACTTAAATGTTGTCAGGGCACAATAATAGGGATGCACGGATACCGAGTATTTGGGCCTCGTACTCGTACTCGCCCAAATGCTCCCGATACCAGAACTTCCGCGATCAGGAAGCCGGGCTGGGAGTCATGCTCCCTAGTCACCAGGGAGCATGGAGCCGGCTTCCTGGCCAATCTAGAAGCCGGAGGGCGGATAATGACTCGTCCTCCCCCGGCTTCCTGTTTGGCAGGGAAGCCGGCTCCCGGGAGTACCGGTATCTGTATTCGGAATCTGCAAGTACAGAAAGACAAAAATCTGTACTTGATACCAAAAAAACAGTATTCCTGCTTCCCTAGCTAAATGGCTTGTGCAGCAATTTTACAATTATTATTATTGTTTTCCTTTAAATGCAGGGACTTGGGACTTTTACATTTAATTTGGACACCCAGTCTATGTAACTTGGTATAAAGTGTTTTTTTCCTCCCCACCTGGGTTGGAGAGGAAATACAGCTGCTGAAGCACGATATTGAATGTCTTGTAAATTATTTACTGACTGACAAGGATCAGGGCGAAGTCTCGGCAGTATTTATCACACAAGTGCGGTTTAATCTCCGAATAGTGATAGAAAGCTATGTCTGGAAACCTCCTACAGCAATATGTCTCCTTAACAAAATGCCACTGCAGTGTCCCAAAAACACCCATGTCTGCTAAAATGTGTACTGGCAGAATTCTATTGGCTCTAACTGTCTCTAGGATACACAGAAATAAAAAAAAAATTGGTGGATTTGAGTTATAAGAAACCTCATCATCGCATGCAATCTCCCTCATCAAAACGCACATTTTCAAGTGTTTTCTATTGAGTCTATGGGGACAAAACGAGCTGAAATCTGCCCCAAGTAGCTCATGTATTAGTTTGCACGACATGTGTTTATCTGCTTGCGACAAAATGCAAAGGTGTGAACAGGGGTCATAGAAAAGAGGTTGAGCGTTTTGTCGCGCTGAATCAGCTGTTGACAATACGCCTAGGTGTGAACGGGGGCTTACATAATTGGGCTGAGCTTTTCCTCTTCACTCAGTGTTCCCAGTTCAGTCCCATAATAGTTTGTAGAAGCATTCTTGCTTTTGGGGACTGTAGTAAACCATATACAAAGAAGGAATTGTGGGATTTGCCAGAGGAAGTACTCAATTATGTATTCAGGAACTGGAAAACTTCATGATGTACCTATATCGCTGGCTGTTTAAAATGTTGAAAGTGCGTTTTTAGAAGCTCACCCAAATCTACAAGGCTTCAGTCGTTTTGCTATGTTCGGCGTACGGGTGGTGGTTACATTTGAAAAAAGAATAGTTTATTTAGTGCCTACATTTTTGTATTGAGCTCTTGTATGTAGCAGCATTCAGGTTTGGAGAGAGGGCCGGAACCAGGCTGTGCTACAGAGCTTGCGCCAACAGGGACTATCCTAACAGGAGGCGGGAGTGATGACTCCGAATTGTGCTGCTGCTCCATCATTGTTCAATCGGTCTTCTTGCAATGAGGACATTTGTTCCAATGACAACTATCTAAGAGGTGTTGAAAGATGTGAAGGAATATGTCCCCAATGGAAACCGGAGCAGAAAAAAATACAAAAGTTGACAGGAGATTTTTAACCCTTCATCACTCTATCCTAAACTGATGAAACGGTTTTGGATTTTGGTTTACTTTAACCCAAGTTGCTCTTTTTGAAGTTTTTGTTTTTATTTTCTCTCTAGGGACAAGCGTGGCTGCACAGAATTTGATTTTGTTATTGATAAATATGACATAAGGATTCCTGAGGAGGTTGATGGGTCTTCCAAGAAAGGCTATAAGAAGCAAGACAGAGTGGACCAAGTTGCTCCGGACAGTGACTATTCATTACGTGTACGTCAGCTGGTCACATGCTGCGTTAGGATTTGTATTCTAGCGTCTGCTGGTATTTTTCATATTTCTCATTCAAGCACACTACTACCAAAAATGGATCTTATTTGTGTATCACTCGGCTGTAGATCCTCCAATCATCTCTGAATTGGCGCTGACACTGTCCTTCCTTCTGGAGGGGGGGTACTTTTGTTCCCTATGGTCCCCGTGTGTGTTGTACAGTAGACACCGGTGCAAGCTTTCTCCTGTGATGGACTACAGTCTTAGGTTTAGTTTACTAATTTGTATTGAGATTGTAGCCCATCCCGGGAGCGAGCTTGGAGCGCTGAGTACATACTGATGTCACCAGAACTGAATACATGTCCCACAGCAGAACACATGTCCCCAAGGCAGAATAGTATTCTGCCTTGGGGACATGTATTACAACACACAGAGACCATTGGGAACAAAAGTAGTCACCCTCCAGAAGGAAGAACAGTGTCGGCACGTAAACATGCATCAGGTGCGCCCACGTACTTAAACCATGATCGCGCTACACATGTTAGATATAGCTCCAAGCTCACTCCTGTGATGGACTACAATCTCAGTACAAATAAGTAACTAAACATGAGATTGTAGTCCATCACAGGAGTGAGCTTGGAGCGGCGACTACTTTACAACACACGGGGACCATGGGGAACAAAAGTAGCCCCCCTCCAGAAGGAAGGACAGTGTCAGCACCAATTCAGAGATGATTTGATCTAAAGCCGAGTGATACACAAATAAGATACATTTTTGGTAATAGTTAAGGTAGTTAAATGCATTTTTAAGATTTAATGTCACATGCAGGTGCCTCCAGAGGCTTTTTATATGCAGGCGTTTACAGAAGTAGTTTCCACTCGGCTCAGGTGGAAACGGCTTCTCTTCTGAATGAAGAGAAACAAGTAGTGAGACAAATGTTGGCAGCCCATGATGACCTCATTCTGACCAATTCACAGCGAGTATAAAAATCCGATTTTACCATTAATAAATTGTTAAAATTGCGTTGCATAAGGTTGTCATTCTATAGTTTGTACGTATGTAAAAGTTGAAACCAAAACCTTTATCTTTTTAATGGATCACATACAAGGTCATAAGTTTAATCACACGAAAAACATAAAATCAGTTCAAATCAATTCATCAGGAAATCTAAAGATAACTGCTGATCACCAGATTTATTACGATGTAACCTTTAGGCCTTGTTCACACCGAGCGCGGAGCAGTTGCAGACCGGATCAAAACTGCGTCCAATGTATTCCAATGGTATTTTTTGCTCCAGTTCACATCGCAGCGTTCAGGTCCAGAGCAGGTGCAAAAACTGCAGCAAGCCCTATTTTACCTGCTCTGGAACGCATGCAAACGCATCAAAAACGCATGCAAATGCCTGGAACGCACTGAAAGCCCATGTTAAACAAAACAAAAACGACCTGGAACGCATCAAAAACGCGGCACAACCCACTGCACTGCGTGTGCAGAAACCTGAGCGGATCTGCTCTGCATTTGGTGTGAACAGGGCCTTAGGGAAACTGCCAAATAGGGATGCGCCGATACCAAGTACCATACTCGGTACAAGTCCAGATACTTTTCCAGCTCCAAGATAAGACTGGAGAAAAATTCAAAAGTGAGGAGACAGCTGTCATTTGTAAGGAGCACACGGAGCTCCTGGGATTTGTACATCTCTGTTTTAACCCCTTCGTGACGGGAGACGTACAGTGTACGTCCCGGCACTTTCTGCCTATATGACTGGCCACGTACACTGTACGTGACGAGTTATATCAGGCTTTGTAATGCTGGTAACCGCTGATTCTCAGCAGTTACCAGTCACTAATAAATGCCTCAGTATTGAGGCATTCATTAATGAAATAGTTAAGCTTTTGTAAAAGCTTCTTTGTTTCATTAATGAAAGAATGAAGTTGTTACATGCAAATACGGGACCGCTAAATAGCGATCCCGTATTTGACAGCTGAAAATAGCAGAGAGGTAGCAGTGTGAGTCACCTCTGTGCTATTCGTTTTGACAGCTAGATAGCCTGATGTTTATGATACATTGTATCTCTTTGGTGAAATGTATCGGACTTCTGATCCTCTGGGCCGATCAAAGACCTTTTAGTGAGATCTGAATCTGACATGCTGTCAGGATCAGTCTTTAAGGTTTTTATTAGCTGTTCCTAAGTTTGGAGCAGCCTAATAGTCAAAAATTTAAAAAAATAGTTATTTTTTCAAGCAGTCATAGTGACTGCTTGATATAAACTGACAAAAAAAAAAGTATTTTTTTACTTTTTTTTTTTTTTACAAAGGGTAAAAAAATAAAGTGAATAAGGAAAATAATAATGATATATAAATATATTTTTTATACTATAATTATTATAACAAATTTCTAAAAAAAAATTATAATCAAAACTTGTGAAAAAAGTGTGTTCTAATTTTTTTCCTCATTTTTTTATATTGTATTCAAACTAAGTGAGGCGTTAAGTACATGTTTGATATTATATAGCCCTATCTGTCCTCTAAAAAACTATATATAATATGTGTGAGTACATTTAGTAAGAAAGTATATTACTGCTGTGGAAGAATCACACAGCAACAATGTAAAAAGTGTGTCAGTCATTTATGTACAGAAACTGAAAACTAGCTCAGTCATGAAGGGGTTAATGTATGATTTTGTTTTATAAATATAAGGGATGCACCGATACCAATTTTGCAAGTACTGATACTTGTCCAAGTGCTCATGGATACAAGTACTGATACATTTTTGTTTATTGTCATGTGACAGTTTTTCTAAAACAATACAGACTAATGATTTCAGGACAGTGTGGGGCGCCAGCGCCAGAGCCCGGTCCCAGCTACATCCGCTGCACCCTGGTAGTTCTCATGAAAATGCCAAGCATCGGCGCTGGTATCTGCACATCCCTACTGCCAAATAAAAGAATTGCCTTCTTTGGCAGAGGAATATTAATAACCTGGGATTTACTCCAGAAGTTACATTTATGGAAGTGTTTTATATTGGACTCAAAATTGACCAGATTTGTTCTGCGTAAAACACAAGGGTTGTGTTCAAATAAATAATATACATTTGTCATACATTTATATAGAGTGGCACATGTATTGCGCTTACATACACAGATGAGTTCATACACACATGCCCTTAAGTTGTATACACTTCCATGTGTAAACACAGTACACACACATATTTACACTTACTCTCCCTCCCATGTAAAGTAAACCGGCCTGCCCCTTTTTGACTGTTAAAAGTCAGTCATACTGAAGAACAGAGGTCAGGATGTCCCTGTTCTTGGTTTTTATGAGCTGTCCCTTTTGTGTGCCCCTCTGATCCTGGTTTCATGTTGTTGCTAAGGATTCATTGTAAATTGTTGGTTGCCAATCCCCTACGCCATTCTTCTACTCACCTGTCCCTGATCCAGAGAGATATCGCCCACAAAGCCAATGAGCCTCTTGTCAAAATCTTTTGAGCCAGGTTTGGCTGCGAGTATGCGCTGTGTACGTTCCATTCACTCCCTTGGCATCAAAAAACTCTTTTATAGCAGGGGTATCCAAACATTGGCCCTACAGCTGTTGTGAAACTACAAGTCCCATAACACATTGCAAGACTCTTAACAGCCACGGGCATGACTTGCAGAAGGTGAGGCATGATGGAATTTGCAGTTTCGCCACAGCTGAAGGGGTTAAGTTTGGCCACCTCTGCTTTATGCTTTATAGGATAGAATGGGGAATGCAGAAGTAACTGCATGCTGACCGGAGGCATCTCAAATGTTTCAGTCATGTGGAATAGCATTACAGGAGCAGCTTCAAGCTACAGAGCTCTGCGCCATTCTAAATGCTGCTTAACTCTGCTCCAGCTCTGGGGCTAAGAATATGAACTGAGCTCCAGCGGAGGACAATGAAACTAGAGCCAGAGTCTTGCCCATGTCCTGTTTAGCACAGATTTTATCATTAGGATATGGGAGATTTCCAGAGACATTTGATGTATTGCTGTGTTCACCAGAAGGATAATATTTTGGAATCTCTTTGCAAGCTCCTTGCAGGAGATAGTTTTAATTTTGAGCTTTTGTTTCTTTTACAGGCATATTGCAGCATTCTCTATCTGAAACCAAGGATGCAGATCGTAATCAGAGGGGAAAAAGTTCAAACACAACTTGTTTCCAAAAGCCTCGCCCTCATAGAAAAGGATGTCTACAGACCCAAGTTTCTGGCTGTATCCTTCTATTTAATGATTTACTGACATATACAGTCCAAACATATTGGCACCCCTGCATCCAGATAATGCACCGCTTCGCGCAGAAAATTGCTGCCATTACAAATGTTTAGGCATTCTCATGTTTATTTCTTTTGTTTGTATTGGTATGACACAAAAGAGTGGAGGAAAAAAACCTAAAATCTGACCCATTCCACGCAAAACTCCAAAAATGGACTGGACAAAAATTATTGGCACCTTCTCCAAAGTGCATTCCAAGTTTTTGTGTAAAAGCATGGACAAGGTCAAGGTAGGAGTGCGTGGCCCGCAGATCTGTCCGGAGAGCTTGGCCCGCAGATCTGTCCGGAGAGCTTGGCCCGCAGATCTGTCCGGAGAGCTTGGCCCGCAGATCTGTCCGGAGAGCCTGGCCCGCAGATCTGTCCGGAGAGCTTGGCCCGCAGATCTGTCCGGAGAGCTTGGCCCGCAGATGTGTCCGGAGAGCGTGGCCCGCAGATGTGTCCGGAGAGCGTGGCCCGCAGATGTGTCCGGAGAGCGTGGCCCGCAGATGTGTCCGGAGAGCGTGGCCCGCAGATGTGTCCGGAGAGCGTGGCCCGCAGATGTGTCCGGAGAGCGTGGCCCGCAGATGTGTCCGGAGAGCGTGGCCCGCAGATGTGTCCGGAGAGCGTGGCCCGCAGATGTGTCCGGAAAGCCTTGCATGCGTATTGTGCTAAAGCGCGCCAAGCTCTCCGGACTGATCAGCTCACCATGCTCACCTGTGCAGATCACAGTTTTGTGCAGGCCAATTTGGCAGGACAGATCACCAGTTAGGCGGCCGAGCTTTCTGAACAGACAGATCGGCACCCAGTGGAGCAGGAGAAAGCCATGCACTGTGTTGCAGTAGTGTAGCGGCTGACAAGTGATGGAGGGACACTGACCGTGTAGAAAGGTGATGGGAAGGCAACGTGTTTCAGGGCTTGTTCACTCCATTTTCTGGAGCAGATCTGCAGACACGCTTTGCACGCTTGCAGCGCGTTTTTGATGCATTTTTACCGCGTTCCATTTTTTGGGGTGGGGCTGTCAGTATGCAGGTTCTTGCTCTGAGGTCACTTCCGGCCTCTCCTTACGAGTACTTCCCTTTGTGTATGCAAATCTGGTGATGACATGTATCCCATGTTTGTAGGCATGGTTTTGGTGCTGGCTACAGCAATCTGCAGACAACGAGCTCGCAGGAGACGTCGTTATTGGGTACACGCGATCTTGAGGCTCAGGGACTCCAAGGGTCAATTTTGGAGTTAATGAGGATTTGCGAGCTCACCCGGATACATTTTTTTTCCTTTACTCGTATGTCTATGGAAAGGTATTTGGCATTTGAGCAAGAATACACTTCTTTTTTTTTCAGTTAGCTCCAGTGCGGTGCGTTTTCCTTGCGCTTTTGATGCGTTCGTACACGTTTCTGTGCGTTCCGGACCAGAAAAAAAAGTGACCTGCAGTACTTTTTCTGTCCGGAACGGAAAGCACTGCGCTTGTGTGAACTGGAGCCCAGAAAACACATAGGGATACATTGTGATGCATTTTTAGTGCAGGAGCTAACTGGTCTGGACAGAATCCGGACATCGTGTGAACAAGCCCTCAAGGCTTAACGCCTCTTTGTCAAGCTGAAAGACTTTCTCCCCTCTGGGACAGGGCTCTCTCCTCTGTGCATCACTTGTCAGCCGTTACACTGTCACAACACACCGCATACGGCTTTTCTCCTGCTCCACTGGCTGACCTGTCCGGCCAGCTTGGCCTGTCATTTCCACTAAGCCGGCTCCTGTTGTATGGTTGTTGGTGTGGTGGTGGTGGTGTTGTTGCTGCTGTTGTGTGTTGCTGCTGTTGTGTGGGGGTGAGGGGAGAGAATGTGTATAATGTTATACACATTCTCTTTCCCACCCCCATACACAACACACACACCTTTGCAGCTAAAAATGTAAAAATTCTGCTCGCCTACAAAGGGTTTTCAAAGATCATATGTGTTTTGATCTTTTTGATTTTAAACATCCCAGTCACCTCACCTTATCAATGACCTTCTGAGGCAACATGTTAAAGGAGAACTATGGGGTCAGGGCTTTTCCCCATAGTTCTCCTAAGGGTCACGGGAGAACGCAAACTAACGTTCTCCCGTGACGCAAAGCTCGGTATACTGAGACGCCGGAGCGGATCCCCGACATTGCTGTTGAGATCCACTCAGCTGCGGGATTGACAGCTGGCTCTGCCTATCCAGAGGCCAGCTGTGCCCTCCCCCGTCCGTTCCGCCAGTCAGCGCTGGAGGATCGGACAGGGCAGGGGCGGAATCCCTGCAGGGAGCCGTGAGTGACAGTCACGGCTATCTGCAGGGATAGGTCGAGAAGTGAGCGAGCGATGGTAAATGTTCGCTCACTTCTCGATCTACTGAGCCGATCTGTGACAGTTTCATTGTCACAGGTTGGCTCAGATTATGCGGCTGAGTGAAAATCACTCGCATTATAAATGTCTTGGAGTGTTTTACTAATGAGATAATAGCTCGTAGTTTCCTTAACATGGCCAGCCTAAAACTGTGAAGATTACCTTCGGATACAACTGCCGGAACAAAGAGCACTATGGCATAATGATGTATCACAAGAACAGGCTCATTAAGGCCTATGTGCGAGTTGGCTGCCAGTTAAAGGTGCGCATCCTGTTGGAGATCTGCGTAGGCTGTATACATTGTTTCCTTCAAATTATTTTATTTTTACATTTTTCAATTTCTTTTTCTAGGCTAACAATATGGGAGTCGGTGTTGTCGGCATTATTGAAAGTAACTTTTTACAACCCACACATAACAAACAGGACTTCGACTACACCAATGATTATCGGTAAGTGTGAGAAATAAACCCATTGCTTTTGCAGACTATCCACCAACATGTCTAATGATCAGCGCCAGCCAACAGTATTCTGATTTTCATCCTTTCTGACGGGTTAAAGTTGACCACAAAATGTTAAAAGATCAGCTCAGGCAACATTTAAAGGCACAAAACAGAGCCGTGTTAAGTCTTTCTCTGAGAAGTTGAGCTTATTAGTAACAGAACAGAAACGGGAAACAACGTGAGAAAAAGCTCAATGGATGGGCAGTATTGGCTTGATTTGTTTCCGGGAAGGGGAACACTATCAATATTATGTAATGTGAAAAAACAGAGTCCTTTGGCTCCTTCTAGTGGACCCTTTAGGCATCAGTGCAATACAGATTTCCCAATGTACTTAGACAACATTGAAAATAAAGCCTTAAAGTAACCCTGTCACGACCAGGTCACTTGTATACAATACAATATTAAAGAAGTCAATATACTTACCTTTCCCATGGTCTGTGTGTTGAAAGCCAGAGGAGCAATACTCATTTTCCTCACTACATGCTCCGGTTCCTTCCAATGGCTCGTATGTCCTTTTAGTGACACGTGAGCCGATGAGCAGCACCGTGGCATGCGCTGGGTAAGCAGGAATTTCCCACCTCGCCTAGAGATCAGTAAAGTGGCAGTGTTTAGGTATATTGACTCTTTTTGGCAGATGTGGTGTTGTATCAAGTTGACCTCCTGCCAGTACTAAGAAGTTTTTCAAGAAGTATGTAGCAGTGGCGTCACAAGGGGGTGCAGCCCGCACCCGGGTGACACCATTGCAGGGGTGACACCAAATTGACTGGCAGCTAAGTGGATCCTGACAATATTGTTGGGACCTTTCCTGGCTGCCGCAGGGCTCTGCACTGTCGGCATATAGCTAATCTTGCAGCTTGCCAGTCCTCAGCTGTGGTGGCTGCATTAGATTTTCTTATTTTCAGGTTTGTTACCCCTTTATTTTCACCTGGTGAGTCTGCCAGTCCTGTCCTCGGGTAACTCACTCACCCTTCTGTATCTGGACAAGAGAAACCGAAAAGGTTTACTGTGAAGTCCTCCTGTATAGATGGGCATTTGGTTTTTGCACTTATGAAAGATGTAATAAAATGCTTTCCATAGTGTTATTAAAAGAATAAAAGGGAGCAAACAGTAGAATTTTGTTGTTGGGGATTATATGCACTTTAAATGATTTTATATTGTAAAGAATACAAAAGGAGGAGTGGGAAACCCGAAGGTGGATAAGAACAACTGGCACCCCGGACGGTAGGCAGGAACTAAAATCCTAAAGAGATATCAGATCCCACGCTCCACCACTAAATCAAAGTCCTTGTATTTTCTTTCTGAATTAACCCTTTTAATCTGCTACAAATGTCTTCTGATTGTTTGTTAGGCTGACACTAACTGCATTAGGAGAGAAACTTAATGACTACTGGCAGGAGATGAAACTGAATAAGAATACCCTCACCGGGGAGGCTCTTCCTGTGGAAGATGTTGAGTAAGTTTCTGGCAACAAGTCTGTATTCGGTCAGAAATGCAATTTAAAAGTATATATATATATTTTTATTTTTTTTTGCTTTTCTTTGGAGATTTCACATTTTAAATTGTATCTGATTTAGTTAGTGTGTCGTACAAATCATCCAAAGATAGAAGTCTAGTAAATGGACAGTGGTATACCCAGGTTCTAGTACATGGACAGTGGTCTAACCGGGGGCCTAGTAAACGGGCAGTGGTCTACCCGGGGGCCTAGTAAACGGGCAGTGGTCTACCCGGGGGCCTAGTAAATGGGCAGTGGTCTACCCGGGGGTCGAGTAAAATGGCTGAAGGAAGACCTGTTCTTATTAGCTATTGGAACCATTCTTCTGCTCTCGAGTTCACTGAGGCAGTGGAGCCATCCTAGTAAACGGGCAGTGGTCTACCCGGGGGCCTAGTAAACGGGCAGTGGTCTACCCGGGGGCCTAGTAAACGGGCAGTGGTCTACCCGGGGGCCTAGTAAACGGGCAGTGGTCTACCCGGGGGCCTAGTAAACGGGCAGTGGTCTACCCGGGGGCCTAGTAAACGGGCAGTGGTCTACCCGGGGGCCTAGTAAATGCGCAGTGGTCTACCCGGGGGTCGAGTAAAATGGCTGAAGGAAGACCTGTTCTTATTAGCTATTGGAACCATTCTTCTGCTCTCGAGTTCACTGAGGCAGTGGAGCCAGCACACATATTTATTGATACTTTGATCAGCCTTGGTGGTTTAAATAGAGATTTTGATTTTGCTGTCCTCTTTGGCACACCTCATTACAGATGCCCACGTCCTACTGCTCTCTAGGTATTATGATGGGTGAAGCCACTGCTTGCTATATTCTTACATTAGCACACCTGGTGCTGTAATGAGAAACACTGCATTAGATGTGCAGAACACCACCCATATCACCCAGAAAGATGAAACTCTCAGGAATATACATTGCAGGGGATGCTTGTCATTTCAATTCAAGTTGTGTGCAAAAGAAGAGATTAAGCCAGTGTTAAGAATTTGACACGTTCTTAGATCAGGAGTGTGATTTGAGTATCCTTTTGTGTGCACTTTGTTTAGGAAGAAACCTGACCAGAACTGGGTCCAGTGTGACGTCTGTCTGAAGTGGAGGAAACTTCCAGATGCTGTAGGCAAGCTACCATCGAAGTGGTATTGTCAGATGAACGCCGACCCCGAGTTCCGGTAAGAGAAACCACTATGTGCTGTGTTAGATTTGATCATTGCTGTGCACGTTTGTATCCCTAATCTTCATCTTATAAACAGAGACTGCAGTGTACCTGAAGAGCCCGAGGACGATGATGACATCACACATTCGACTTATGAAAAGACACATAAAAGGAGGTTAGTGGGGCTTCATGTAAGCTCACCCCTTTACAGAACAAAGCAAGAAATCATATTTATGCACAAGCAATACTGTCCAAACTTTGCGGTTTCCTATATGCCCTCCATAGAGAATTACATATGATGCGGACGTAGATATTTCTAGCCACACAACTACACAGCCATGGATCTAAAATTCTAACTCGGGCGTAGGCAACCTGGGTAATCCTGCTGTACAAATCCCATCATGCTTCTGCAGAGTCCTTTATGGATGTCATAAGTGTGACCGGAGCACAAAAGGCAGCCAATGCAAAAATCCCTGTTTGTCAGGACTTAGGCCCGGTGCAGCCCCCCGCGATCCTGCGGGATGCAGGCAGCGATTGCCGTGTGGCCCCATTGATTTCAATGGAGTTGCATCTGCATGTACCTTTTTTTTTTTTGCGATGGATGACACGCGGCAGTTGTAGCCACGATCGTGTTCAGAAGCACGGGCGGATTCGCGGCGGGAAACCGGCGAGACTGGAGTGCCATTAGAAAATAATGGCACCCACAGCGCGATCGGTTCACACCTTGGCGACTCCTGACTGCGGAATCGTGCACAATTGCGGTGAAGTGTTGCCTAGGTGTGCACCGGCTCTTAAGATAATGTGGCAAAAAAGGTATCTATTGGACTCGAAGCAAGAGCTCCGGGATAGAAAACTGGGGTTGACGTTGGTATGGTGATTGTGCCTTCATCAGCAGCCATCATTGAACATGAGACACAAATGGAGGGTTTGGCTCAGTCAGGGAAGGTGAGACACAAATAGAGGGTTTGGCTCAGTCGGGGAAGGTGAGACACAAATGGAGGGTTTGGCTCAGTCGGGGAAGGTGAGACATAAATGGAGGGTTTGGCTCAATCGGGGAAGGTGAGACACAAATGGAGGGTTTGGCTCAGTCGGGGAAGGTGAGACATAAATGGAGGGTTTGGCTCAGTCGGGGAAGGTGAGACACAAATGGAGGGTTTGGCTCAGTCGGGGAAGGTAAAGGACATTTTCTGTTTACATGTTAGACTGTCACACAGGAGCCTTTACTTGTATGGTAACAGTATATAGGGAAATATTATATTATCCACATTTTGGGGGGTTTATTTGTGGGCAGAACAGAATGTGTCACTATTTAGTATTAATGGCTCTTTGTCTTGTCTTGTATTTAGTCTTTTATGGTTGTTTTTATTGCTGAGAATTGAATCCGTTATATTTTACATCTTTCTATTCTTGCAGGAAATCTGAATTGCTCCAGCAGGTATTATATATATTTATATATTTTTTTTATTTGAACTTCAGAGACACATAATAGATTTCATGTGTAAAAGGTATCCCCTTCTAATTTTTTTTGTAATATATATATATGATTGCAGCTCAGCAATAAGCCGACTATTCTGTTCACTCCGCTCGGTAAAGAAATGCAAGCCGCTCTTAGTCATGTGCAAGCAAATTACAGACCAGTTCTAATGCCTGGACGTGCAGCAGCAGCACCCGAAACCACTGGCCAAGCCGGCTCTCAGGCTGACAGGTAACCTATTTTGGTCAGTTGTGCCATGCTATTATGAAATGTATATACATTGCAAACTCCTAATAAATGAAGACCGTAAGGTTGGTCACATTACTGACATTTTTTTCTACGTCCAAAGAGACTTTGTCACTTCGGGAAAGAGCTGCAGCAGCCTCCCAGACCTTCCTGTCAGACAAATCTCAGGGTGTTCTAAATACGCAATGCTTCACCATGGTCTGATATTGTTAAAGTTTGCCCGTCCATTACTGCCTCCTGCACAGATCGGTTGGCCAGTGAGGCTGCCTATTATCCTTATAGACCAGTTGGAGATTTTGATTGTATTATATATCAGTGTAGTATGATACATGGGGGGCACAGAGCTCGTCCGGATTGAGCCTTTTTGTCGCGGGAGCCTATAGGGCTGAGAGACTTGTTGGGGCCAAGGAGGGATGGGCATAATCTATCCATGGTTGCCAGATCTTACTGAAAGTTTTGTTGGTGTCTGCGAGGATGCTAGTCAGCTTCTCGTTTAAGCAGAAAAAGTCCATACGCCGCGTGACTTCCCCAAAGGGTACAAATTGCTTTTGCAAGCCGAGGCAATGGTTTGTTTAGCCGCCAGTATTATGATACATTTTAAGTTATTGGAAAGTTTACTTGATAGTACCTTTTGGAGGTTCAAGCATACCCTGCAATAAAATGCAAGCTTTATATACCTAGTTCTTCCCTTCATCTTTAATCTCTGAAATAATGCTGTAAAAACAAAACATCTTTGCAAAAAACAATTTAGAAAAAATATTTACCTTACCCATGGCACCTAGGTAAGGGTGAGGTGGCAATCCTTCCTATGAGATTCAGGAAATGGTGAGGATCCCAACTCATGAGAAAAGCACTCTCTTAAAACGGACCATACACCTATAGATTATTATCTGCAGGTTTTCTATGGTCAGATAGAAAAAGTGCTACAAATTCCACCATCTATGCTAAACTGTGTGGATGGAGGAATCTCCCACTGGGCCAAGCTTCAGTATCTTGCTAGTCGGCCCCACTTGCTCTCAAAACACCTGAATAATACCTGCATCCAATCAGATTGTTCAGGTATTTTGACAGCCAGCTTCTTGCAGCCTGTCCACTGATGGTACCATCTTTTGCAACCTGGAATAATTGTGTCCACTGCTGTTAGTCTCTCCTGTCCTCCTGAGTCCTCCTTGTCCTCATGTGTGGCTGTGTCCTCAGCCTTATTGGTTAAGATTTTTACAAGGGATGCACTGATGCCGAGTATTTGGGTGAGTACTTGTACTCACCCAAATGCTCTGATACCTACCCCCAATACCGAAACTTCTGGTCAGAGGGAGATCTCCCTCTGACCGGCAGTGCCGAGGGAGCATGGAGCTGGCTTCCTTTGCAGGAAGTCGGGAGGTAGGTTATAACCCACCCTCCCGACTTCCTGATTGGCTTCACTTGTTGCTAGGCAGCCTGGCTTCCTAACCAATCAGGCAGGCTGGCGGCACTTCATGACCCACTGGTCACGTCATTTGTGGGCACTGTTCTCCCCTTCTGGTCCAAGAATGCATCAGTCAAATGTATATTAACTCCTTAAAAGTTAATTCTACGATTCAAGATGTAGAAATAACTCCTGGGGAGTAAAAACTCCTCTTCAGTTGCTAAAATAACATCTCACACGTCAAAATAACAACTCCCCAACGTTCGGTGCAGTCGGAAGCCTTAACAAGCTTGCTAAATAACGATTGGGACTTTGGTGAATACCATGTTTTCAAAGGAAAAATAAGGAGAGGTAAATTAACAACTGGAGAGAGCAAATAGCGTTTCTCTTTGTGAATTGACCCTTTTGTGGTGTTTCTCTTGGATGGAAATGTTGGTGTAAAACGTTTTAGAATGTCACAGTTTAGCTACACTTAGTGATGTGGACACTTTGCATGAAGCACAAATGTGTTCTGTTTTATAGTAAGGCAATAGTATCATTGATTGATTTATACAGTAGATGCCCATCCTGGCAGAAGAAAGACAATCCAGTGACAAGTTTTGCTTTTTTTATGGATTTATTTATTTTTGTTAGTGTCTCACGGTTCCGTGTTTCCTCTTGTCACTATAGGCTAAAACGTCCAGGCGCTTTTGAATCTTCTATGACCCCTGCTAAAAAGCCTCACATGACCATATCAGAGACTATTGAGCTTCCAGATGGTGATGATGATGAAGATGCAGCGGGCGACTTTGATGTGATTATCATTGAAGAGGACAGCACTCCCAAACCCAACGATAATCCCAAACCTCCAAACAGCACCGCCCCTGTGTTGAGCACATCGGTTATGACTGCAGCCACCACCCAGACTGACAGGGGGGTGACTAATATTAAACAGGAAGCCGACTCCAATGGCTGTGCCAACTTTCAGGCGAGCCAGAAAGTGCCAAACCACAAGGATTACAGCTATTGTAATGGTACCGCCACACAAAATGAGCTTCTTCACCACGCAAACCACCAAAGCTCTGTACCTGCTGTAGACTTTGAAAAAGATTATTACCGCAAGTATTGCGACGAGCTCAGCGAGAAGGTGAAACACCTAGAGGACCAGTTGGCTGTGGCATTAGGCCAGCAAGTGAAGAAAGAGACTTCCCAAGCCTGTATCCAGACCAACCCCGTACCAGAGCCCACACAAGACAAATCGAGCAAGCAACTGGTGTCGCAGTACGAGCAGGCCCTAAAAGAGGTGCACAGGCTGAAAGGTCTGTGCAGCACACTACAGGCAATTAAATCCGAGCCGGGGGCTAGCCAGGTCAATGATGCCGAAGTAAACAACGCCAGCGAGGTAGACGAAATGGCGATCCAGCTCGATGGAGTGTTCCGCCAGCTTGAAGCTTGCTGCAGTGAGCGGGATCAGTACAAGTCTGAGGTATGCTTCTGCTTGGACAATATGGTGGGGTCTAAGTTTCCATGTACATAGTCAATAATCACACTACATTATTATTTTTAATGAAAGCTAGTCTTCAGGCATGACCCAAATTTGTACCCAACTCTCCGTCTCCCTCTCTAACGTATGTCTTGTCTTTTGTACCTTGTTGCTGCAGCAAGAAACCGCTTTCATTACTCACGTGAAATTCTTGCAGGGGTAGCTGCTGTGGGAGGTCAGTTTCTTTTGACCTCCCACCTTTTCATTTTCAAAGCTGAACTGAGCAAACTGAAGAGAGAAGCTGATAGACTCTGGGGCAGTTGCTCGTAGCAACCAATCTGTGGCAGTTTTGATAAATTCACCCCATTGTGTAGGAAGGCTCCTGGGAGTCGAGGCAGCAACGTTGTTTGGCTGGCAAAGCAATCTATGTATGTAGGTGGAGAAGGACAGAGAGCTGTTGGAGATGGCATGTGTATGGAGTTCTGTAGTCCAACAGGGGAGAACTACGGCAAGGTTGACAATGCTGCTGAGGATTTTAGTGCAGTCAGTTTCTGAGAGTAGTTTGCTCTTCCTTGTGACAGAGCAGTGATCCAATGAACGTATGTGCAGGTCAGCAGAATGTACACATAAAAACTCTCCTTCTGATTTGTGGAGCCGATTTATTCACCAAGCTGCATATATTAACATTAGTGGCAGAGTGCAGACAGCTTGTTACTTCCTATGGTGAAGCCCGTGGGGGCATGGAGTGGTGACACCGTGGAGTGGTGACAGCAGGGACAGTGTAGCGGTGACAGGCTCTGTCCCCGACCGCTGCTTGTTCCTGTGACAGTGCTGTGCTAGAACTCCTGTGTTGGAGGTGACAGGGTCAATAAAGAGTACCTGTCACCTCCAAATGCTATCACACAGGGGCTTGTTATTCCCTGTGTGATAACAATAAAGTTAAGGGAAAAACAAATAGTTAAAAAAGTAAAAAAAATAACTAAAAAAGAACAAATAATTAAAAATGTAAAAAATAAAAAGGTGATATAGTAAAAAATAATAAAATAAATGAAAATTAAATTTTTTTTACAAAGTAAATAATTATTGAAAAAAGGAAAAACCAACCCCGCTGCCCCCACTATCTGCATGCGAATAAACGTGCAGTGTTTTCAACCGCACCTGACGGTGCTGACCAATGAGAAGCTCTTCTTGGCACTGCTAAATACGGTTTTGGGTAACAAAAAAAAAAAATTTGTATCAGGACAGGTAGATTGGGCCCCCGCTTTAGTCCTTGCATAGGTTTGTCCTGGGGTAGGTTTGTTGGTGGCAGAGGACAAGACCCAGAGGATCTTCCCCTTTAATCTTAAAAATAACAAACAGGCCTTTAGAAATGTTTAGCAATGACAATCTACAAACATACTTCTAGATAATTGCCGGCTTTGTATTCTTTACATATCTTATTTTTTATTTTCCTCTCCATTCTTTTCAAAGTGGCCATGTTAACTAAGGGCAGGTTACTAGCTCTCCCTTTACTTCCTGGAACTCTGGCACATGTGACTAGGACATGTGACCATCTCCTGAGATTTCCCAGCAATGCTCTGCTGATATAGCCTCCCTAGGTTACAACGCTTGGGCACGAAGACATAATTTGTGCCAAAGTGGACCAGGAAGTAGAAAAAAATAAATTGTAAGTAAAAGTTTAAAAAAATGTTTGTTTAACCAATGAATGTAAGATGATTTCATATCAGCATGCAGAGCTGAATGCTGGTGTGATTTTTAGTTAAAGGGGGTAAAGGTCCACTCTAGTGTAAGTCAAGGCCTGTGTGTAGCCTCGACCTCGAATTTCTTGCAGGGGTAGCTGCTGTGGGAGGTCAGTTTCTTTTGACCTCCCACCTTTTCATTTTCAAAGCTGAACTGAGCAAACTGAAGAGAGAAGCTGATAGACTCTGGGGCAGTTGCTCGTAGCAACCAATCTGTGGCAGTTTTGATAAATTCACCCCATTGTGTAGGAAGGCTCCTGGGAGTCGAGGCAGCAACGTTGTTTGGCTGGCAAAGCAATCTATGTATGTAGGTGGAGAAGGACAGAGAGCTGTTGGAGATGGCATGTGTATGGAGTTCTGTAGTCCAACAGGGGAGAACTACGGCAAGGTTGACAATGCTGCTGAGGATTTTAGTGCAGTCAGTTTCTGAGAGTAGTTTGCTCTTCCTTGTGACAGAGCAGTGATCCAATGAACGTATGTGCAGGTCAGCAGAATGTACACATAAAAACTCTCCTTCTGATTTGTGGAGCCGATTTATTCACCAAGCTGCATATATTAACATTAGTGGCAGAGTGCAGACAGCTTGTTACTTCCTATGGTGAAGCCCGTGGGGGCATGGAGTGGTGACACCGTGGAGTGGTGACAGCAGGGACAGTGTAGCGGTGACAGGCTCTGTCCCCGACCGCTGCTTGTTCCTGTGACAGTGCTGTGCTAGAACTCCTGTGTTGGAGGTGACAGGGTCAATAAAGAGTACCTGTCACCTCCAAATGCTATCACACAGGGGCTTGTTATTCCCTGTGTGATAACAATAAAGTTAAGGGAAAAACAAATAGTTAAAAAAGTAAAAAAAATAACTAAAAAAGAACAAATAATTAAAAATGTAAAAAATAAAAAGGTGATATAGTAAAAAATAATAAAATAAATGAAAATTAAATTTTTTTTACAAAGTAAATAATTATTGAAAAAAGGAAAAACCAACCCCGCTGCCCCCACTATCTGCATGCGAATAAACGTGCAGTGTTTTCAACCGCACCTGACGGTGCTGACCAATGAGAAGCTCTTCTTGGCACTGCTAAATACGGTTTTGGGTAACAAAAAAAAAAAATTTGTATCAGGACAGGTAGATTGGGCCCCCGCTTTAGTCCTTGCATAGGTTTGTCCTGGGGTAGGTTTGTTGGTGGCAGAGGACAAGACCCAGAGGATCTTCCCCTTTAATCTTAAAAATAACAAACAGGCCTTTAGAAATGTTTAGCAATGACAATCTACAAACATACTTCTAGATAATTGCCGGCTTTGTATTCTTTACATATCTTATTTTTTATTTTCCTCTCCATTCTTTTCAAAGTGGCCATGTTAACTAAGGGCAGGTTACTAGCTCTCCCTTTACTTCCTGGAACTCTGGCACATGTGACTAGGACATGTGACCATCTCCTGAGATTTCCCAGCAATGCTCTGCTGATATAGCCTCCCTAGGTTACAACGCTTGGGCACGAAGACATAATTTGTGCCAAAGTGGACCAGGAAGTAGAAAAAAATAAATTGTAAGTAAAAGTTTAAAAAAATGTTTGTTTAACCAATGAATGTAAGATGATTTCATATCAGCATGCAGAGCTGAATGCTGGTGTGATTTTTAGTTAAAGGGGGTAAAGGTCCACTCTAGTGTAAGTCAAGGCCTGTGTGTAGCCTCGACCTCGAATGCAAGGTCCTTCCCTAGCGCAAAGGATTAAAAGACAAATACACGGAGTTTGCAATTCTTTATGTAATTTAGTGAATACGTTGCGTTCTCTTTTCTTAAAGTATTGATTCTTGTAAAGCTGTGTCACTATAGGAACTTGGTACCCGACTGGTAATAGGTGTAATAAGGATAACGGGCTGCATTCCATACACAAAGCATTGAGTTGTCTTCAATGGCAGTGATCACATGGAGCAAGACTCATTATTTCCCCTTGGGGAGTATATTGGAATTGTGCACAATGTTCCAGAGACCAGGCTGGTGACATTGACGTCAGTCTCTGCTTCTAAAGGGGCCCAGTGACCCTACAGCCATTGTAAAGCCTGAAATCCCCAGTTGGGTAGAAGCCTGTTAACCTACAAGTGTGTTTTGGGGAGAAACTGGAGAAAAATAGTTTTTTTTTCTGTTACAGGTTTTCTTCCCAAAGCTCAGACTGTTTTTATGCACTTTGGGTGCAAATCTCTAAACTGAGAGTAAATATAATAGGATAATAACTCCATAGAGGTCATTCTTCATGTCAGTTTCCTGCTCTTGTCACAGGTGGAGCAGCTAAAGCAGCAGAAATTGCAGCTGGATTCTGAAAATGGCAAACTTAAGACTCGAGTAGAACGGCAAAGGAAGGAGGCGCAGAACTCGGCCTCGGCCAGTACATCAAGAGATGAAAGGTATTCCCAGCTTACTCAATCGTGTCTTTGTTTTAGTTTTCCCTGGCTGTGTGCTTCCATGTCACAAATGACTCTATACTGTGAACATAAGCGAGGGCTACACTGGTGATTAAATCTCTTTGCTACACCTTTTAACCCTTTCGCTGCCACTGACGTATGCCATACTTCAGTACAAATAAGTAACTAAACATGAGATTGTAGTCCTTCACAGGAGCGAGCTTGGAGTGGTGACTACTTTACAACACACGCAGGGACCATGGGGAACAAAAGCCCCCCTCCAGAAGGAAGGACAGTGTCAGCACCAATTCAGAGATGATTTGAGGATCTACAGCCGAGTGATACACAAATAAGATACATTTTTGTTAATAGAGTAGTTGTATGTATTTTTAAGATTTAGTGTCACATGCAGGCGCTTAGAGGATTTAACGCTTGAGTTTAGTGTCACTTTAAGGCAGAACTAGAAATAAAAATGCTGGGAAGTTTTATTTTGTGTACTCTGCCTGCTGTCCATAATAACACATTATGGCAAGAGAACACCACGACTTAGAGGGATTTTACCGATATCTGTAAAATGACAACAAAGATACCTTTTAGAAATGTTGAGTAATGACAATCTACAAGCAGATACTTCTAGGTAATTGTCGGCTTTTTATTCATTGCATACCTTATATTTCTTTTCCTCCCCTTCTCACAATGA